TGTATTCATTATGTAGAAATGACAACAGTAGAATCTATTATGATGCTGCGTTTGTCGGAATAACAGTGGCTAAGTTGAATTTAGTAAAGTATTGAAATTGATACGAAAGAACCTATTTAATCAAGATAAGCATAATTCTGAAGTTAATCTAATAGTAAATCCATTTATTTTAAGAACGTAGATGCTAATGGACATATATTTAAGTTATTAATATGTTTAAACTTTACTGTTTCAAGATTTACGTTCATTATATTAGTGTTCAATTTATTAAGCAGAATATATTTCAAAACAATTTGAAGTCCACTATTTATGCATTCAAAACATCTCAGTTACTAAATTGTGTGAGAGCTCAATAAGAGTGCTGAATTTTGTCTTGGTCAGATCGAATTTGAATTCAACCTCGGAAATTTTTTGAACATCAATAATTTCCATTATCAAAATATCCTTTTTATGATTATATATCTACGCATGTAGATTGATTAAAATGAGAAGCTAATTATCAAACATATCATTAAATCTTCACAGAGGTTCATTTTCTAGCCACTAGATGACTTCATTGTAGCATTTGTATTAACAAGATCTACAAGCTACAGAAAAGGATTCTGATTTATTTATGAGAATTTTATGATTCTAGCATAAACAGTGAGTAAATCGTTAACTAATATGCGAGTCGCAAGGGCATACACATATGTATGTGATGCAATAGCGCATGTACGTTAAGAAGTGAACGAGCTATACTACTGTGGGCAAAAAGTAAGGTGAATTTTCAATTTAAACTTCGCGGGCTTAACATTTCGGGCTAGTTCTTTTTTTCTTGAGTTGGTAGGACTGCGAATGACATCTGGGACAAATTTCATGTCAATGTCATCATCAGTAATATATTTACGCTTCTGTTTACCAAACGACCAAGAGTGCATGTTTCGATTTTTACAATGTCTGATTTAATTGAGCAAAGAAGTGCCATCAAATTTTGTTTGCGGAATGAAATTTCGGCTGCGGAAACGTTGAGGATGTTGCGGAAGGCCTTTGGTGATTCTACCATGTCGCAGAAAAATGTTTATAAGTGGTACAAAGACTTCAAAGAGGGTCGAGAACGTGTTGATGACTTGGAGCGCTCCGGACGACCATCGACGTCAACAGATGACCAACACGTCAATAAAGTGAAGGAATTAGTGCTTGAAAATCGTCGGTTGACTGTTAGAGACCTTACTGATATGATCGGAATATCAGAAGGATCTGTGAAAACAATTTTGAAAGACCATTTGGGCCTACGAAAAGTCAAATCTCATTTGGTACCGAAAACGCTCAATTTCTTGCAAAAAAGTCGCCGCGTTGATGTGTGTGAAACAATGCTTTCTGACTATCAGGACAAGCTCAAATGCATGATTACGGGAGATGAGACTTGGATTTATGCTTACGACCCTGAAACAACCGACCAATCAAGCGAATATCGTGCTAAAGGCGAGGCCAGACCGAAAAGAGCACGTCAAAGTCGTTCAAAAATCAAGGTCATGATGACAGTTTTCTTCGATTTTCGTGGTGTGGTGCACTATGAATTCCTTCCACCCAGCCAAACTGTTAATAAGGAATATTATTTGAGCGTTATGCGTCGTTTGCGTGAAGCAATTCGTCTAAAAAGACCAGAATTATGGGCCAACAACTCTTGGTTTTTGCATCACGATAATGCACCATCTCACACTGCACTCGTTCTTCGTGACCATTTCGCCAAAAATTCGACGCATATCGTTCCGCAACCACCGTATTCGCCTGATTTGGCTCCGTGTGACTTCTGGCTATTCCCAAAACTCAAGAAACCACTCCGGGGAACGCGTTTCGAGTCGATTGAGGAGATAAGAGCTGAATCGAAGAAGGCGCTGATGGCTATACCGGAAAGGGACTATTTGGCATGTTTCGAGGATTGGAAAAAACTTTGGCATAAGTGTATTTTATCGGGAGGGGATTACTTCGTAGGGGATGACATTGATGTAGAAGAATAAATAAAGATTTTTCATTTTACAAACAAATTCACCTTACTTTTTGCCCACAGTAGTAAACTAAATAAAAAAAAAATAGTGCCCACGTAAACACCGTTTTCGATATACGAGGGTGGTCCGATAAGTACTTAGCCTCACCGCCCGATGGCACCACTCTCGCAAAAGAAATATTCTATCACGTAGTACAACCTTCTCGATGGTTACTGTCAAGATTTCAGCCGGATTGGAGTTGTAGATTATTTTTGAGAGCGTGTGAAAGCAAGTGTGTCCGTTGATTTTTGAAAAATGGAAAAAGAGCAGTATCGGTCGGTGATTCGATTCTTGTTTTTGGAAGGGAAATCGCGCAGCGAAATCAAAAAGCGCTTGGATAATGTGTACGGTGCCTCTTCTCCTTCGATGGCGACCGTCAAAAATTGATTTAACGAGTTTCAACGTGGTAGCACGTCGATTTTTGAAGAGCCACGTCCAGGTGCTCCGAAAACGGCTACCACGGAGGATAATGTGACAAAAATTCACGATGTCCTATTGGCAGATCGACGATTGAAGGTGCGCGAGATAGCTAAGATCGTAGGCATCTCAAAAGACCGCATGGGTCATGTCCTGCATGAAATTTTGGGCATGAGAAAGCAGTCGCCGCAATGGATACCGCGTTTGCTCACTCCGGACAACAAGCGCAACCGTGAGACAACTTCAGACCAATGTCTGACGCTGTTTAAGCGCAATCCGGAGTTTCGTGACAGTCGACGAAACATGGATCCACTGGTATACACCAGAGACCAAGGAACAGTCGAAACAGTGGACTTTACCCGGCGAAAGTGCTCCGAAGAAGGCGAAGACTGCCCCATCGGCCGGAAAGGTGATGGCCACCGTTTTCTCGGATTCACAAGATGTGATCTACATCGACTACCTGGAGAGGGGCAAAACGGTCACAAGACTGTACGAGGGTGGTCCAATAAGTACTTAGCCTACAAAAGCAAAACGAAAATTTTGGAAAAGTGGCGTTTTATTTCTCAATATAGTCTCCTTTTAGTTCGATACACTTGGCCCAGTGATGCTCCAACTTCTTTAACCCGTCTGAAAAATACGTTTCCTCGAGGTCTGAAAAGTAGGCTTCCGTGGCAGCGATTACCTCCTCATTCGACTCAAATTTCTGCCGGGCGAGTGACTTTTTCAAGTTTGGAAACAAAAAGAAGTCGCACGGGGTAAATCTGGAGAATACGGTGGATGGGGCAGCAGTTCGTAGCCTAATTCGACCAATTTGGCCATGGCGACGGCGGAAGTGTGAGCCAGTGCGTTGTCATGGTGGAAAGGCACTTTTTTCTTCGCCAAATGGGGCCGTTTTTTCTGCAATTCGACGTCGAATCGGCCCAATAATTCGACATAGTACGAGGGTGGTCCGATAAGTACTTAGCCTCACCGCCCGATGGCAGTTGGAGCATCACTGGGCCAAGTGTATCGAACTAAAAGGAGACTATGTTGAGAAATAAAACGCCACTTTTCCAAAATTTTCGTTTTTCTTTTGTAGGCTAATTACTTATCGGACCACCCTCGTACAGCCCTGTGACCGTTTTGCCCCTCTCCAGGTAGTCGATGTAGATCACACCTTGTGAATCCGAGAAAACGGTGGCCATCACTTTTCCGGCCGATGGGGCAGTTTTCGCCTTCTTCGGAGCACTTTCGCCGGGTAAAGTCCACTGTTTCGACTGTTCCTCGGTCTCTGGTGTATACCAGTGAATCCATGTTTCGTCGACTGTCACGAAACGACGCAGAAACTCCTTCGGATTGCGCTTAAACAGCGTCAGACATTACTCTGAAGTTGTCTTACGGTTGCGCTTGTTGTCCGGAGTGAGCAAACGCGGCACCCATCGCGCCGACAGCTTTCTCATGCCCAAAATTTCATGCAGGACATGACCCACGCGGTCTTTTGAGATGCCTACGATCTTAGCTATCTCGCGCACCTTCAATCGTCGATCTGCCAATACGAGATTGTGAATTTTTGTCACGTTATCCTCCGCGGTAGCCGTTTTCGGAACACCTGGACGTGGCTCTTCAAAAATCGACGTGCGACCACGTTGAAACTCGATAAACTAATTTTTGACGGTCGCCATCGAAGGAGAAGAGTCACCGTACACAGCATCCAAGCGCTTTTTGATTTCACTGCGCGATTTCCCTTCTAAAAACAAGAATCGAATCGACCGATACTGCTCTTTTTCCATTTTTCAAAAATCAACGGACACCCATGCTTTCACACGCTCTCAAAAATAAACTACAACTCCGATCCGGCTGAAATCTTAACAGTAACCATCGAGAAGGTTGTACTACGTGATAGAATATTTCTTTTGCGAGAGTGGTGCCATCTGGCGGTGAGGCTAAGTACTTATCGGACCACCCTCGTACTATGCCGAATTATTGAGCCGATTCGACGTCGAATTGCAGAAAAAACGGCCCCATTTGGCGAACAAAAAAGTGCTCTTCCACCATGACAACGCACCGGCTCACACATCCGCCGTCGCCATGGCCAAATTAGTCGAATTAGACTACGAACTGCTGCCCCATCCACCGTATTCTCCAGATTTAGCCCCGTGTGACTTCTTTTTGTTTTCAAACTTGAAAAAGTCACTCGCCGGGCAGAAATTTGAGTCGAATGAGGAGGTAATCGCTGCCATGGAAGCCTACTTTTCAGACCTCGAGGAAACGTATTTTTCAGACGGGTTAAAGAAGTTGGAGCATCGCTGGGCCAAGTGTATCGAACTAAAAGGAGACTATGTTCAAAAATAAAACGCCACTTTTCCAAAATTTTCGTTTTTCTTTTGTAGGCTAAGTACTTTTCGGACCACCCTCGTATGTAGCGGTAAATTGGTTATACCCAACTTTTGCAAAAGTCGCCATCGAAGATTTATCTTTACAGCGAATGCCTAATATGAATATAAGTAAGATATGATACGAATAACTAGATAATTGATAAATAATTAATTAAAGTGAGAGGAAAACATTTTTAACAGAGTTTTTTATTCGTTGAGACTGAATTACATCTAACAAGTAATCGATTTGATAACCGAGTTGGTCGACTTAATAGAAAAGATTCTGTAGAATTTATATACTTAGTGTTTTGATTAAACGATTGTTTGTTAGTTAGTCTATTTCGGCAGAGCATCTGTGGTTGACTTCATATTTTGTCTCAATATAGTATTGCTAAATTAATTCATTCTTGCCTGTGACTTACGAACTTGATGTCTTAAACATACCTAAGAATTGTATATATACATAAGTTGCACTTTGCAAGCCGTCGTTCATCGTCAAGCTGCATATATAATTACGCAATAGATTTAATTACTAGGCTTAACATTATAAAACTTTTCTACTTATTGCTTTTTGGATTGTGCGTTAACGTTAGCTAATTCCACAACTTTCAATATCAGTTTGATGTTACTCAATTCTTTAATATTTTTAATTTAAATCGAATCATAATAAAGATATATTATTATTAAAAGTAATAATTATTTATTATTTTTAATGTATTTTAGACCAATTATAAGGCGGTAGTCAGAAATATAATAAGTTTTATTTAGCCAAGAAGCTCTACAGTAGGTTAAATTTTAATAATGGCTCACAACACGAAATGATAGACAGTGGAAAATTCGAATCTGCCTTTATTGCCTTTATAGTGCAGCTAGCGTTACAAATTCAAAATTTCATATTGTACAGATGAGCGCATTTCTGATAATTCAAAATAAAGCTTATTCAAAGGAGAATACAAGTGTTGAATGTGTTGGCATAAAAACGCTCCTAAGTGTGAAATACGATAGTATTTCACACTTAGGAGGAGCGTATGTTGATTTACGTCGATTAGTTTAGTTACGGTTTTGGGTCTTGTCTAAAATATAATGTATATAAAGAGATTATGCATTCTATATTCATTCTTATCCTGATCAAAGACAATTACGTTATACTTGCATAATACGGCTAATAAAAAATCATAGCTCGTGCATAAATAGCATTTGTACATATGTATTTAAAGGCAACGTCGCGAGTGATTACCGAGTCGTTTCAATCACTTATAACGGAAAAGCTACCTTATACACTACTGATATTCTATCGCACGATTGCTGTAGTATAGTTAATAATAGCTTATAGTAGTTTGCGCCGTCTCTCGTAATATCACTACAAACTTGATGTAGTTTTTATGCTTTCAATTGTTCAAATTATCTTAGCTTAAGACTAAGGAACAATTAGCTTGTTATGACGTCATACTTTCTAAATTTTCGGACGGTGGTTTTGCTAACTAATTATTATACTGGTTTGGTTATAAAAAGAAAAATACTATGTTTGACACTTATAGAGTTACAGAACGTGTGCGTTTTCCAAAAGTGGATACATCAAAATGATGTAATCATCCAAAATGTCGAAAAAATCGCTTTGTTACATTCATGAATTTTAGAGATTTTTTGGCTTTTTATTTAATTTTTATAGTCATACGAGATGCATACATTCACTCAGAGCAAATATTAACTATAATAATTATAATTAAACGCGCACTACAATAATTGTTATCGCATACGACAATCAAAACTTCGAAGACTTTAATGCCCTCGTAAACAATTATAAAATGATAATAGATAAATCGACACACGCAGCAGATGTAGATCCAAAATATTGGATCTGAATAAATGATGTATTGGCACTGTTTATTGAAATGACAAGTCGATGCTATAGTTCAATAGTGCAAGCTAATGTTATATAAATACATTCTTTAATGAGCCGAATAATATCTGATGATGACATAAGAAGTAGCCTCTCCATTTCTCAGATGAAAATGTCACGTAATTATTTATCAAAGGCACGTGATTCTAAGTGCAGTTCTCTAAATCTAGTATAGATGTATTTGTGATCGAATTGTTGTAATTTTTATATCGTTTTTAAATTAAAGATTACGTCTATACATCAAAACTTTAAAATAAATTAATATTATGTCTACATTTATTGATGTGTGTACATTCTGAAGATAGATATAATATTCATGTTCTTGAAGGTTTTGATGTAATAGCGCCATCTGATAGAGAAAAAATCCCTATCCAATAAAACGTTAGTTGATCCGATTTGGAGATAAACCATCAATTTAAAACCATTATAATATAATTGTGTTTTAAATATAAATATTGAACCGGTTCATCTATGTTATGGATTAGCATTCGCTAAAATTTTTATGTTCTTGAATATTAAAAACATCCGCAAAAATGAGTAATAATAAAACTTGCGAATTGGTTGATATTACAAATATTTTCAATTACGTGAATGGAGGTTCAGTGATGTATGCATGTGCGGGATAGTATTTGTATCACTCTCACAGTATTTGATTTGGACTTTCTATATAATACTAAAGCTATTCACCCTCTTAACAAAAATAAGTGCTTTTCATTTAAATGCTGTAAATAAAATTAAAGATTGTATCTGTATGAATGCGCACTTTAAGTACATATGTGCGTCTGAAAGATTGTGTCTGTCGATAAAGATAAGCATGAATTTGCATAGGCAAACGAATTAGTATATTTCATTTGGTAGTTTCTGAAAATAAGTATTTAATTTGGAATTTAATTTGGCACGAGTGAATGCGTACGACAAGTCAGCAAGGCAATTTGAAAAGGCATTTGATGATTCAAGTCCGAAATTGCTTGAGTAGAAGCTGATCTAAATCGACACGTATATTTTAAAGCAAGCAGACTTGCAATATGGTTTTAAATTTTCTATAAAATTAAACTACGAAACAGTGTATACCGAATGCCTTATATCTAGAATTCTATGAATATTTCTCTATAGTCATAGGCGATCACCTTTCAGTGAATATACCTTTCTAAAGATTTTGTATAATATTATTGTCGTTTGGTTTACCTGTAAATAGGATAAGAAATAGATCGTTACTCAGCATGTCTGCTGAATAATAGCCTGTCGAAAGCTGGTTAAAGTTTCTTCGTAAAATCTCACGGTAGAAAAAACATAGGTCGCGCATATTAAGTGTCAAATTTTCGAGCGAATACAACTAGAATAAAAATGCGTCTCGTAGAAATAAAATAAGAAGAAATATTTGACAGCACAAAAAGCGCGACGAATGAAAAATGAATAGTATTAAAGTACTTCATGGCGGCGGTGTAATATGTAAATGTAGGCGTGCCGAGTTAGGCCGACTGATACTATGTAGCTACCTATCAGCAGTTTTGTCGAGGGTGTAAGATTTTGTATATTATAACGCCGAATTTGATATAAGTTGATACACTGAATGGGTCCCTAACAGATGGTTTCGAGGGGAGCAGTTTTGGTGCTGGGATTCTGGGTGACGCTATCTCCTATGCTAGGCATGCCGTGGCTGGTAGTGCTGAGTTGATTGCCTTGTCGATTAGCGTTGGCCCTAGGATCGCGTAAACAGAAACGTTTGAGAGCCGCGCGCACCTGCGGCTGACAGCCCACCACAATAAAGATCAGTACGCCTTGTGCGGCATTCAGCAAGTCCGTCAAGTACCATAAGAAGTCTGGCCCGCCGGCCATCCAAGAGATCACGTCGAAGATCCAGGGCACTCCCATCACCACCACTAGTTTCAGGCAAACCTTGCCAAGCGCCGCTCTGTAATCATACAAACAATAGTCCGATTAATAATTATTTAATTACTCGATAATACGAGCATATACACATACATATGCGTATGCGCTCTGGATCAAAGAATAAAAATTAAAGATGGAAAAATAAAAGTTAGAGATTATTATTAACTGGTAAATTTAAAGGAGATGCTTGTATTGAATGTAATTTATATTATAGTAATCATAATTATATACTGTAATGAGGTATGAATTTGAGTGGGCTACGCCGTGTATGGGATGCAGGTATGCCTTTATGCATGTGCGCAGATGGACACAGATTGCGCGAGCGTTACCGCATAGTCATATAATGACATACGCTCAGCGGCGCGCTGCGTGCTTACTGAGGCCCTACGGGCAATCATCAACTCTTTCTCTGTATCAATCGTCATTCCGCTACCTTACCTTGGGAGTATGTGCTTGCCTCCGAACGAAGGTCCCGTTAGTTGCTGTCGTTATTTTTATTAGGCAGTCTTAGCTTCGCTCGGAATTGGAAAAATTTTGCTAGCTGAAAACGGGCGCGAAAGCACAAAGTCGTTTCGCCAAAATGAACGTACTGATGATGGAATAGACGCTACCTATGGGCCAGTTAATGATTAATCTACACAAATTTTATTTATCATTAAGGTGTTCTAAATTGTGCTTGTATTCCTCTATAAATTTTAGGCCTGCGCTGTTATCATGATTTTCAACATGTGGCATATACGGGCGCCGCCATCTTGTCTGCTGCCGCGCACAAGCTACGATAATTCGTTGTATTCATGGTACGCGCGCGATCGCCGTTTATCCTTTTCGCGTGAGATTGACCGGCGACCTTATCTTTAATGCGCAAATATATTAGTGCGAAGCTGGCCAGCTTACTTCGCAAGAGCAGCTCCTAGTCGATTCGTCGCTTAGGCAAATCCCGCTTATTCTCAGGGTCTCATTCGAGAGGTTTGTCGTACGGAGTTGGGGCGTCCGCCTAAGTTCTTGCACACACCGTCTCTCAGGATGCCCTCTCCTTTCAGTTAATGTCCTTACACGAAATCGCGGCACTCTTTTATAATTCCCGAAGAAAAACCACGTTTTTGGCGAAGGCTACCTCCGTACATCCGAAGAATCTCTCCTCGACTCCTGTTCTCTATCTCTAACTTTCTCTTCACGCGCGGTGCGTGCCCTCTCTTTATGTTCGGTAGGTGCTGCCCCTCACGGGCAGTCGCCCTGACGAGGTAAAAGAGCGGATTTAACGTTCATCGTTACAATACCTGTTATATTTCACAATTTCTCTGGCTATGAGTCGCATTTTATTTTAACGGAAATTGCTATGGATTCTGATTTTAAAGGAAATGTTAATATTATAGCTGAAAATAAAAAGCGACACACACACACACACACACACACACACACACACACACACACACACACACAATGAATAATGTTGCTAATTATCCTATTAACTTAACATTTCTTGATTTCATTCGATTATCGAAAAACTAGTATCTTATATGACAAAATTGTAACAGATGAACTCGAAAAGAATAATTATATTTTAGAAGAGATAGAATTATTGAAAAGTAAAAATATTTTTTTTTTGTACGAATATGTTAACAGCCTTCGGAAATTAAATTAAAAACATTTGCTTAATTTAGAAGAATTTCACAGCCACATAAAAAATAGTAATATTACTAAGGCTGGATATGTGAACATGATTATAAATTTAGATTACTTTAATATTGCAAATCTAGGAATTACTCTAATTTATATTTAAAAACCGATGTACTTCCATAGGCCGGTATTTTCGAAAATTTCCATAAAACATGTATATGATCATATAAGCTTGGTCCAACACACTAATATACAATATACAGGATTAACGTGGGATATAAAGTTAAAATATATAGGAATTTAATTCAAATTATTGACAAATATTGATATAGTACTATTTATATAAAAAGGTATACGTAGTATAGATCACTCTTGTTATAGATATGCTAAAGCTAATATTTCATACATGAGAGCAAATTTCAATAAGAATGAATCAAGTCAAATTTTAATATATTATGATATCAACAACTATTACGGTAGGGTAATGATTCAATCTTCATCATATAACAATTTTGAATAGATTTAACGTATAGATAACAATAATTTTTTTTAATGTTCTGGATAATCACGAGATTGGTTACATTTTGAAAGTAGACTTAGAATATTCAAAACAGTTTTATAGTGCTAATGATGCCTATATCCTGTCTATATAATTATGTCTATATCCTGAATGTATCGCGTCATCAGGCTTAGCTGAGAAGAAACTTTTTACGACATTGTATAAGGAGAGCTATGTAATTCATTATACAGCGTTAAAACTGTCTCCACATAAACTTTTTTTTTATTATTACTCCAAGTTTATTTATAATCCGTCAGACGTATTAAAACAATAAACAAATGTTGTTGCTATATATATATACATATATATACATATATATTATATATATATGTATTATATATATATATACATATATATATAATATAACGAGTGAAATTACCGACTCGTTATGTCTCTCTCTCCCTAGTAGCGATAAGTAAATGTAACATACGAGGATCGTTTGAAAAGTCCGTGCAAAATCAGAGAGATGGCGCTACTAGTGCGTATCAAGGTTATTTTCAGTTAGTGGCATATCTTGGAAGAGCACACACCAAGTTTCAGCCAGATCGGCCAATTACTTTGCGTTTTATATTCGTTTCAATCAAAAAAATCGAGTGGTTGTAAAAAAATGGACGAAAAAGAATTTCGTGTATTGATTAAACATTACTTTTTCAAAGGCAAAACGCCTCAGGAGATTAAACAGAAGCTTGATAAACATTATGGTGATTGTGCATCTTCGATTAGAATGGCTTATAGGTGGTTTCAAAATTTTCGGAGTGGTCATTCGAGCACAAAAGACGCTGAACGTTCTGGACGCCCTGTTGAGGTTACCACTTCAGAAATCATTGATAAAATCCATGATATGGTGATGACTGATAGAAGAATGAAGGTGCATGAGATTGCTAGTACTATAGGCATCTCGAGCGAATGGGTACATAATATTTTGCACCAATATTTGGACATGAAAAAGCTATCCGCTAGATGGGTGCCGCGATTGCTCACGATTGACCAAAAACGAGATCGTGTGAAGTGTTGCAAGAATGGTTTGCAGCTGTTCCAGCAAAATCCGCAAGACTTTAAGCGTCGTTTCATCACTGTAGATGAAACATGAATACATCACTACACTCCTGAGAACAAAGAATAGTCTAAATAATGGGTTACCAAGGGGGAATCTGCTCCGAAAAAGGCGAAAACAATTCCTTCGTCCGGGAAGGTTATAGCGACTGTCTCTTGGGATTCGCAAGGAATAATCTTCATCGACTATCTGGAAAAGGGTAAAACCATGACAGGCGAATATTATTCATCGTTATTGGATCGTTTGAAAACCGAATTGCTAGAGAAACGTCCACGATTGGCCCACAAAAAAGTCCTCTTCCACCACGACAATGTGCCAGCTCACGCCTCAGTAGTTGTGGCCACAATACTGATGGAGATAGGGTTCAAACTCGATTCACATCCCCCCTATTCTCCAGACTTGGACAAATCCTATTATTTGGAAGGGATTAACAAACTAGAGCAGTGTTGGATGAAGTGTATAAGCCTAAAAAGAGACTATGTTGAAAAATAAAAAAGATATATTAAAAAAATCAAGCAGTTTTTATTTTTGCACGGACTTTTCAAACGACCCTCGTATTTCTCCGAACCTATCCTATGTATTTATGAATTTATTATATTTATATTCTTTTATTATATATATTTACATATGTAGTTACACTTCTGTTCTGATATAAGGTAAGTGAGGTGAGAGAGAGATGCGAATACGCAGGGATACTTCCGTGCGCGACAGCAAGGCGCGGAGAGAGAGAAACATAGTCGCGCCTTAGCGAGTGACCACGCGTACTGATTGGCTCATTAAGACGGAATCGAGTAGTTGAGTCCACGGTGCTAGTAGTAGCTGTCTAGACACGCGAGTGAGCTGACAGAGTCCTTTGTTCCAACTGCCTTCTTTCGTTGGACCTTAATTATAGCCTGCCGCCCTTTTTCTTCACCCTTAGAGTGTGTGTCCCTGTTCAAGGAGGAATTGCGACGTTGTCTGGCTCTGTGGACGATTTAAACACGTGGGCTGCAGCCGGTAGTACGGAGCATCGTTGTGCTAGACACCATACAAAAGGAGACAGAGCTGCGTAGTGAACGTGGTGTCCTATTGTTCGCGCATACGCATTAACACAAACTGTAGAAGTCGTAGGCGTACCTAGAGTTCAAGCACCTGTATTGTAAGTACCGGTTTGATGGTTCGCTCTCTCTCTCTCTCCCTATCCGTTCACTCAGCGTGCTCTCTCCCTACTTTTCTTTGTAAACGTTTTAACTTAATAGTATCCCGTTGCTTTATTCGAACATCCTACCTTCTCGCGTTAACAACCGCTTTTGAATTTCCGACTTTCGCGTCCCTTAGCCAACGTTACAAATCTGCGCTGATCCGGCCGTCCTATTAGCACCGGACCTGAGAGGACGACTAAGTCCAGGAAGCTCCAGACTTCATTTGTTCGATCATTCCCTATTTATTGTTTTTTTTTATATATTCACGGGGTAAACCGAGATAAATACCCGTTATAATAATAAACAGTGGTATACTCCAGTGAGTATACTGTTTTTGTTTTATAGTATGATTGAAATAATTAAGATAATTTATTAAAGCATTTGTTTGCTTATGTTTCTTTAGTTTGGTGTTAGCGATGAATGTCTTGAGAAGTTTATTGATAAGTTTAGGGGGGTGGTTTTGTCTGGAATTATATTTTGCGTTGAATTTTTTCATTTCTTCTTTAACTGTATGTATCCGTGAATCATTTTGGATTGGTCCAAGAGGCCCGTACTATATTGCGTAGGGCTTTTGATAGAAATCTTTCCAGGATTTCGATATTTGAATTAGA